ATGTGGTGCTGGGGGATTGAACCGCGGTCCCCAATGCTTTGCCAAGCTTGTTCTAAGTAGGTGCTTTAGACCACTGAGCCATCTCTCCAGCCCCTCAGCTCAGTAATTATCAAACATTTTAACTACAGTTGATTTAGGATGGCAAGACAAGCTCAGAAACCTACCATCATTCTCCAAAAAAAAGATTCTATAGTTCCTCTCAAAAAATAACTCTAGGCCAGCCAGATAGCTCAGCAGACTAAGGTACCTGCTTAGGCAGAGCACAGAGGCTGGGGTTTGATCCCCAGCATGCCATGCTGGCCCCTGCCCCTGGGTGCACTGAGATAGGGATTGAGACTGGGCCTGTAATCCCAGCTCTTAGGAGACTGAAAATGGAAGGATCACTACAAGTCCAATCTATGTAGTAAGACCCTGTAGACCTGTACCAAATTTAAAAAACCAACTCAAAATAGAAACTGAGAAAAAAAAAAGAAAAACTCAAAATCAAAAAAGACAAGCTAATTTTTAAAAGGATCTAGGGCCAGCTTGATAGCTCAGCAGACTAAAACACCTGCTTAGGCAGGGCACAGCAGCCGGGGTTCAATCCCCTGCGTACTGTGCCAACCCCGCCCACAGGACACACTGAGACAGGGATTGAGACTGGGCATGGTGGCTCACACCTGTAATACTAGCTCTTGGTTGGGAGGCTGAAAACAGGAGAATCACTGAGTCCACCCTACATAGTGAGACCCTATAGACCCTATCCTAAATACAGAGGGAAAAAAAGGATCTAAATACAGGTAATTCTCAAATAAAGGAATACTAGTACCCAAAGAACACATGAAAAGACCCTCAGCATCATGAGTCATCCGGAAAATGCAAAGTCAAACAAGGAGAAACCACACCCACTGGAATGGCTATAATCAACAAGACTGGTAACAATCTCTGTTGGTGAAGATACTAGGGAATGCCAAATGATATCGCCATTTTGGAAAACTGTCTGACAGCCCCTTAGAAGGTTAAACAGAGTTTATATATGATTCAGCAATTACACTCCTAGGCATACACAACAGAAAATGTTGTATATTAACGTTTACATTAGTACTATTCATTATTTCCACCCCTAAAAAGGAAAAACACAATTGAAATGTCCATCAAGGATGAGCAGATAGCCAAAATATGGTATACCCATACAATGGAATATTATTTGATAATAAAAAGGCATAAAGTGGGCCAGGAAGATAGCTCAGTAGAATAAGTGCTTGCCTGGCAAGCGCAAGGGCCTGAGTTCAATCCCTGGTTCCGAAAAAAAAAAAAAAAAAAAAAAAGACATAAAGTACTAATAAATGCTATGACATGAATGAGCCTGAAAAACATGCTAAGTCAGTGAATCCAGCCACAAAGGTCACATAGAAGTGTGTCTTCCACTGATCGGACATGCCCAGAAATCCATAGAGATGGAAAGTATGTAAATGTGCCAGGGGGAGCCAGGGAGATGGCAAGCACAAAGTCCTGAGTTCAATCCCCGGTTCCACAAAGAAAAAAAAAAAAAAATGTGCCAGGGGGAGCCAGGGAGATGGCAAGCACAAAGTCCTGAGTTCAATCCCCGGTTCCACAAAGAAAAAAAAAAAAAAATGTGCCAGGGGCTGGTAAAGACAGGGTGTAGGGGTGACAGCCAAGGTGTTCAGTTTATTTGGGTTGTAATGAAAACACCTAACATTGATTTTCTGATGGTTGTACAACTGATAAAAAGCCTGAATTATGTCTCAATAATGTTTTTAAAAATAAAAAGAAAAAATCTAAATAATAACTCTACTGCATGTATACTAGGTCTCCACCTGACAATAAGTTCCCCAGGGTTGGAACCTCTTTGTCTTTAACCTTTACCTCACCCTCTGATCCTCTCTCCAAGGTTACCTAACAAACCTAATAAAAAGTTAATGCTTAATAACAGACTGATATTTCCTCCCAAAATTGCTGTAAAATGACATTTTGGCAGGGAAAATGTGTCTAGTTCGACTTTCACATTCAAGGCAAATGTTTTCTTACATTAAATCTCTCCACTTAAGACACACATCAAGAAATTATGAAGAAATTTAATTCTCCACTTGCTCTCTTTTCTTTGAGGTGGGTGGGAAGGGGGTGTATGGCCAAGACAGGGTTTCACCATGTAATACAGGCTGGCTTTGAACTCACTATGTAGCCCTGGCTGGCCTCAAACTCATACCAATTCTCCCGCCTCAGCCTCCTGAGTTCTGGGATCACATGTGAGCAGCACCAAGCCCAGCTTCCGCCTGTGTTTTCAGTTCCTTTCCACCACTACTTCTATTCAGGCTTTATGAATACATACTTAAGATGCCTGGATCCACCTGGACCTCATAGAGACTTCCACTGTCAGTTTAGCTGTGTGGATCTGTGGACGAGGCCCACTGTTTCACAGCTGGTATCGCTCTTTGATTGTCCAGCAGCAAGCCTCAAAGGCACCCACAGGCTGCTAGGAAGGGGAGACAAGTGTGGGCTGCCACAAAGAGCATCCTTCTTCCTGAGTGCAGCGTGGACAGGATGCACCCAAAGGAGAACAACAGCAAGCCCTGGGGGCAGGTGACCCCAACTAACAGCCACCGCACTCATGCATGCTCATGAAAAGAATGGCACTTTTACCTCTGTGGTTTTCCCTCTAAGACACACTCCTCCACTCTAACCACAAGAAAAGTATCAAACACATTTCAGTTGAGAGACAGTCTACTCCTTTCAACTGTCAAAGTCATCAAAAAGCAAGACAAGCCTAAGAAACTGTCACAACTAAGTGTCTCCTAATGAGCCATGACTACAGAATGTAACACAGTCTGGATGGAATGGTGGAACAGAAAAATGACATAAGGCAAAACTACAGAACTCTGAGTTAAATACTTTTCATTAATTATGCTTAATGTTTATAATGATGACAATTGGTTCATTAATTGTGACAAATGTGTCATACTAATGTAAAATGTTAATAGGCAGAATTGGGTTTGGAATATACAAGCACTCTCTGTCTTCACAGTGATTCTGTAATTATAAAACTGTTCAGAAGTAAACTGTATACTTTAAAAAATTACTCACTAGCTGACAATGTTGCCAAATAAAGATTCTATTTTAAGGAACAGTCCCAACTGCTTAAAAATGATTGCTACCCTTCTAAACATTTTTCTAAGTGATTACAGAGCAGGAAAGGAAAGCCACAAGCTAAGGGTACATGATGGGAAAGAGAAGATGAAGCCCTGAGAAAGACGAGTCCCAGAGTGCTGTCCTTTCTATCCCAAGACTAGCAGCTTGCTTGTATTGCCTTGAAAACAAAGAAGCTGTCCGTGTGTTCTCAACATATATACACAGCCTCTTCCAACCAGGCAGGAAAGAATGCTGGAGACTGCACTGGCAACAGAAAAGCTGGTAGTGCCAAGAAATTATTTGCAAAAGGCTTTCTTTGAACAATAAAATCAGCCTCTCTGAAGAGTCTTATGACCCAAACAACCTGAAAGGACTCAAAGAAATATAGAGGCAGGTGGATCTTTGTGAGTTCGAGACCAGCATGGGCTACAGAGTGAGCACATGGTGAGCTGGGTATATAGGTCAGCAGCAGGGTGCCTGCCTGGCAAGTATGAGGTCTTGAGCTCTGTTCTGGGCACATACAAAAAAAAGAAAAAGTGAGTACAAAGCCAGCCTGAACTGTATGTTAAGATTCTACCTCAAAAAAACAAAACAATAAAAGTAAAAAATAAAGCGTGCGTGCGTGCGCGCGCGCACACACACACACACACACACACACAGTCTAAAATAATCATTTCTACTTTCAAAAACCACAGAAATATATTTAATATATTATGCATGTTAATGTATGAGTTTTGGGGATACAAATGAATGCCCATTTTGTATCTATGTATTCAAAATGGTTAGGATAGATATGTAGTTACATTCTCTTAATGAATAGAGGGATTTGTTCTAATAGAGTTTGTAAATAGGATATCATGTCCACATCTTGTACAGCAAATAACCACTAGGAAGAATGTCTGCAATGTGTTAATTATTGAAACTGTCCTACCAATTTGGTTTGAAACTGTCTCGTTGTTTGTCAATAAAATTATGGGGAAAAAAGTATGAGTTTTATTATGCTTCCTTTTTTTGCTCTAGTTCTGTAAAAAAAAAAAAAAAAAAAAGTGCAGATGTAAGTAGTACGTAAAAGTTACACTGCTTCAATAAATAGGCTTAGGGGCCGGGGAGATGGCTCAGTGGAATAAGCGCTTCCCTGGCAAGCGCAAGGGCCTGAGTTCAATCCCCGGTTCTGCAAAAAAAATAAATAAATAAATACATAAATAAATAGGCTTAGGGAGCTTTCTTTCTTTCTTTCTTTCTTTCTTTCTTTCTTTCTTTCTTTTTCTTTTTTTTTAATAAAAAGCTGTGGTTGGATGAACGATGTGCACTAGGTTCCTGCTCCCTGAGCTCCTCCTGTCCAAAGCCAGCCCAGCCAGTCAGTCTGAGGCATCATTCTCCACCCGGAAGCAGCTATCAAGCCCTCACAAACAGCATATAGCAAGGGGAAAGACACAGCTTCAGTACGGCTCACACACCAGGCTTGCGCCTTCAAACAGGCAACAAATGGAAATCAAGCTGGCCAAAAGCTCTCCAGAGAATCTGACTTATCATTCAGCAAAAACCTTGTTTACAAACTATCAAAAAATGCATTCCATGACACCCCAAAACTGGTGTACTATGTAGCAAAAAAGAAGCCACGAGGTGAAATAAACCAGCTAGCATGTCTTACATGCATCTGAGGGGTGGCCCGGTATAAAATGCACAGCCATGTGTATCAGTCATTGAACAGGCAAGAGCTGAGTGCCAGCTTTGGGAAGGACAACTCGGGCAAAGTGAGAAACAAGCTACAGTGATTACTACCTACGGGAATGAGATGGGTGGGCTGCGATTCTTCCAGTTTGCTTCTCAACCAGTCAAAATCCTGGTATCTTCGACGAACAGAATATTCTGGCAAGTCAAACTCCACCCGAGTACTCTGCAAATAAGAACAGAATGGAAAAAAAAATAAACATAAGAAATAGCATATCTTGGCTTGAAGGAAAGGAAAATCACTCCTTTCGAATAACCAAACGGCAGGAAACAGTTTCCTTCCACCAAATACACCAACACCAACTGAAAGTCACAGTGTGCTGACCAGGAATGGATGGGCTGGGCCTCAGGGCCTAGTCAAAAATTCAAGGAGCTAGAATAAAAACATCAGGGTTTTGGTTTGTTCTTTCCTTATGCTCAAAAAATGAAAATTGCCTATCTAAATCTAATGTATTTAGAACATTTGATTCATTTTTTCTAACCTTAACTCTGGGAATTTCTTTTTGCAGAATAATTCCACTTGGGATATTACTACTGAATCCAAACCTGTGAAAATAAATTAAGTCTCTACCTTCTGCTAAATATGCTAAGAAGCTTTGCTGAAAGCAAAGGGAAAATAATAAAAAGGTAACAGAGTGCTGGTCAGAAGCAGATTAGATAAAAACGGAAAAGGTTTTGCTTCCTGTGCCATCTTCTACCAGAATGCCAGAAGCATGACCTTGAAAGTGTATTGCATGTAAGATGCATAAGGAAATATAATAACAAGATCCCACTGTGTAGCAGAAAAATATTAATAATCTTATCCCTTTCCCTCAATTTTTAAAGTTTTCTATGATGGGATTGTAGCAATTTAATAATAAAACCAGTGTTAATTAAGTTGATTTACATCAAAACAAGATTTTGACTCCTCAGTTACAATGTCTCCAATAAACCACTTTTCTGTAGAAGAGTTCCAACAATTACTGATCTTAGGAGTTACAGTGGAATATACAAATGGCTCAAGCTACATTTATTAAATGCATGTCTTCCAGGTAAAAGTCTGTTTCAATCCAAGAAATGAAGACATCTTAAAAACACATAAGGAAGAGTCATTCATCAAAGAAAGAACTGTGAAGAACTTGCGTTCAAAACTGATTTCAGCTGCCCCCAGGTGTGTGCTCACAGCCTGAGCTAAACTGTGGAGGTAAAGGATCCACTCTTTTTTTTTTTTTTTTTTTTTCATTCATGTATTTGGTACAGGTACACAGATTGGACTCATGGTGATCCTCCTGTTTTCAGCCTCCCAAGCACTGGGATTACAGGCATGTGCCACCACAGCAGGACTATATCACTGGCCCAGCACACCCCGGGGACAGGGCTGGCATGGCATGCAGGACCAGGGATCTAACCCTGGCCCTGTGCTTTCCAAAGCAGGCACATTGTCCACTGAGCTATCTCGCCAGCTCAGGGCCCACTCTTAAAGTCACCCCAGCCAGCTCTCTCTGTATGGCTTTCTCTTTCAAAGTCCCACACACTAGCAAACACCCACGAAGCACAGCCTACCTTTGAGTTTGGCTCTTTTTTCTCCTTCTAAATGTTCAAGCTATACAGACTTACTTAAAAACTTCAAAAAGGGGCAGGGGAGATAGCTCAGTAGAGTAAGTGCTTGCCTGGCAAGCGCAAGGGCCTGAGTTCAATCCCCGGTTCTGCCAAAAATAAATACATAAATAAATAAATAAATCTTCAGAAAAAGGAAGGAAGTGAAAACTAACAGATCAGCCATAACCGATTTAAACAGAAAAAAATAATATTTTTTTGAGACAGGGTCTCAGTGTAGTTCAGGCTGGTTTTGAACTCATTATGTAGCCCACACTAGCCTTAAGGACTTGGTAATCCTCCTGCCTCAACCTCCTGAGTGCTGGGATTTCATTTCATTACAAATGGTTTTATATAGAATTTTAAAATTATACAGATTTCATCCATTTTTTCCCATCAAAGTGGATACTTTTAGTACTATCACCAAAAAGGTCACCCCTGTTACAAGTTTACCAACATACTTTCCTGTATCCTCCCCTGAACTTATAGTCTTCTTACATATGTGTCTGTGAGCACTGTTACTCTACTTCTAGGAATATATCACTGAGAAAAAAATTTTTGAGTGGCAAGTAAGCAGGGTGTCATGGATAGACCTTCAGTCCTAGCTGCTTACAAAGCTGACAAGGGAAGCTCACTCAATCCCAGGAGTTCAAGACCAAGATGAAATACAGCCAGACTATGACAAGTGTTTTGTTGCATTTTGTTTTTTAAATGCTGCCAGGGATGCCTAGAGACAACCAAAGAGGTACTGATACAGAATGATGATGCTAAATTTCTAGCATATTCAAAATAAATATTCTTCACTATGATTCTTATGGTCAGTTACCTATTCTTAGAGTTCATATCAAAACAAGTTATAAATATATTTTCATCATGATCTGTACTTCAGTATTTAAGAAGCATCCTAAATGTCCAACAATAAAAAAGAAATTATATTATTCCATGGTTATCAGTAATTATATTTTTATAATGACAAAAATATTTCAGTGTAGTTTAAGGGAAAACAGGATACCAAGTTATCTGCATATACTGTACATTATAACTTCATTCATGCTGAAACCTAAATATTAAACATTAGGAGAACCAGGATAGTACTACATGCCTATAATCCCAACCATTCAGGAGCCTGAGGCAGCAGAATTGCAAGTTGAAAGTTAGCCTGGGTAACTTAGCAAAACCCCGTCTTAAAATTGAAAAGGGCTGGGAAGGTGGTTCAGTGGTAGGGTACCCCTAGATTCAATCCTAGTACCACCACCACCAAACCCACACAAAAAAAAATTAGAAGAAAAATTTAAAATTGATAATGATGGGCTGGCTAGATAGTTTAGCAGATTAAAGTGCCTATTTAGGCAGACACAGGAACCGGAGTTGATCCCTGATCTGCTGGCTCCACTCCGGGGTGATTTGAGACTGGGCGTGGTGGCACATGCCTGAAATCCCAGCACTTGGGAGGCTGAAAACAGGAGGATCACTATAAGCCTGATCTGTGTGGTGAAACTCCGTAGACCCTGTACTAAATATATTTTTTAAAAAAGCATTTAGAATTGATAATGAGAATTGTCCTCTTTATATTCATCCTTAATCCCAAATCTTATATGATCCTCATATAATATTTCTATAGTAACACATATAACATGCTCAGGATTTAATCCATAATAAAACCTTTCCAAAGGTTTGGTCCTTTGGAAAGCAGTAAGTAAAAATCATCAGAAACAGAAGAATGTTCACACTCTCTCACCCATTGCTGCAGAGCTATCTCCCTACCATTTATCTCT